GCGTGTGTGTATGCTTTTGTGTGTGTGCATGCTTTTGTGTGTGTGTGCGTGTGTGTATGCTTTTGTGTGTGCGTGCTTGTTTTGCTGCGTGGGCTGAGAACGGCCGTGCACTTGCCCCTCACGCAAGCATGCACATTTTCACACACACATACACACACACACACACACACATACACACACACACAGCGCATCACTGTCGGGGATGCGTATCCGAACAAGCCAGCAAATGTGCTGGCTAGACAGATTCGTGGGCTCAGCCCTAAACAACAGCAGAGCTTGCAGCAAACCCTCACGGACACAGCAGCAGAATGCGCAGAAGCAGAGATGCCGGCCATCTTTGAGCTCATTCAGGTTGTTGGTGGTGGTGTTGTTGGTGTTGATCATGTGTGCGTGTGCATGTGTGTGTGAGGGCAAGGGGCTCGAAACACCTCGTGATCAACCACACGCAAGCAGCAAACAAACACACACAACTACACTGCCATCAACCCCATCTCATGAACATTGCTCATACACACGTACACACACACGCGCGCGCGTGTACACACACACACACTCACTCTCATGCCTCACGCGCTTGCATCACGTTCTGCAGCGCACCAAAGATGTGCTTGAGGAATGCAACTCGTCGTGCGTGGAGTGCGGAATCTGCTTTGAAGCAGTAGATGCGGAAACACGGTGCAGGACGCCGTGCTTCCATTTCTATCACAGAGAATGCCTCGGCAGGCACTTTCACTTTTGGCGCACGGACCCACAACTTGTACGTGCAAGCATGCCTGCCCGCAAACGCATTGTTGCCAGCAGTTTGTGTGTGCGTGTGTGTGTTTGTGTGTGTTTGAATGCGTGTGTGTGTGTGAATGTACGTGTGTGTGTTTGAATGCATGTGTGTTGGGAAGTGTCGCCTTGTCGCTGCATATCCTCGGTGCACCTGGTGATTCGCGACCACGAGTACGACCACTTGACCCCCAAGTATCTCACCATCACCACCATCATCATCATCACCGCTCCATTCGCACACCGCCCATCACTCTCATAGGACATGAGTGCTGAGGCGTATCAGGCAGCACGTCGCGTGACAAAGAGTAGAGAGGAGGCCCACGCACATCTGCTCAAACTCAAATCACGGTCTGTTTGTCGCATCTGCTCTGTCCAGCACTTTTGGCTGCATTCGCACCGTTGCGGCATCATGCATTGCAACCTGCGTCCACTCTTACCTCCGTCATTGCACGTCTTGACGCATGTCTTGACACGTCGCCCATCACCACTAACACCACCACCAACACCGCTGGCAGAGAGCCTGTACCGTGCCCCATCTGCCGCGAGAAGCTGGCGGATGATGACATCCCCTCCTTTGACTGGCGCCACATCCGCCCCTACAAGAACGTCGATATCGATGTACGCACACACCTGAGGATGCACACGCATCCGAGTCATGGACATGTGTTGCCTTGCACGCGCTCACGGCAACGCCGCACGGTGCTCACGACCCCACGATCACCCACCAACCCACACAAACACACACACACACATACAACAGAGCCATAGTATCCACCTGAGCCAGGCCATGGTTGAGCAACAGAGGCAGCGCTTGGATGTGTTTCGACACCAGCAACAGCATGACTGCCTAATCTCCAAAGGCATCAAGATCTAGCACATGCGAGCAGCTTGCGAGCGCCAACAACATGTCGCGTGGGCAGCAAGCGACAAGCCACACACACACACACACACACACACACGCAAAAGCATATACACGCACACACACACACACAAAAGCATATACACGCACACACACACACACAAGCCCAGGCGACTGTCTTCGTTGCTTATCCATTGACAATTGTCCCGTTTGGCTTCGTGTTGTTCATTGGTGTGCGCCAGATGTCGACTTTGGGTTGAATGCATGAAGTGAACCACAAATCAGAGCAGAGAATACTGGCCAAAGCAACACACCAACAAGCACAACGCAAAGCAACGCAACAAACACAACAGTGACAGAAGTAGGAAAGGAAACGCAAAAAAAGGAACAACAAAACAAACAAAGAAAAGGCAAAACACCTTCATGAACTGACGCGTGACATGCCTCTCTCACCAACAGCCCAAGAACAAACAGTGCGCAAACACACATGCACACACACACACACACTGACAGGACCTCAACGGACGACATGAGCACCACGCAAAATGGCGACAAGACGCAGGAGCATTCCTTGCATGTGTGTGTGTGTGCGGGTTAGAATGTCTGGGCGTTGCGACAGAGACCGCAGCCAAGAGCAAACTCTTCACCAGTCGGCGGATGCTTCACGTGGAGCGGACACTCGTCGCCCTCCAGTTGCGTCAGACAGGGGCCAGCCTGGCGCACCAAAACGCAAGTGTGCAACAAAGGCAATTGGAGTGAGTTCGAGGAGTTGGAGCGAGGACACACACACACACACACACACACACACACACACACACACACACACACACACACACACACACACACAC